GCGAGAGAGAAACTTTATTTAAAACTGTAAAAAAATGAAGAAAGACGTTTAAATGCACCTATGCAGGACCAACACACAGATTCTCGTCTTCATATCTTAGTCGGGACATGTAATTGACATAATGCTTCTAACCCTGAGCCTAACTATAAGCCTGACACTAAAACCACACAGTCTAAATAACACCTTCGATGTGGCACTTTGGTCCCCACAAAGACGTCTGGACAGGTGCACACAGAGTTCTCAGGTCTCACTGAGTTTGCTTCAGGCCGTAAAGCATCGTTTCATACATGGTTTTATTTTCACACACACAGATTCTGCTGGTTTGTGGAGCTCTGACAGTGTTCGATGCTTCTGAGCAGCGTTCAGGTGAATCATCACAACGAGACAGGAAGTTTACCTCAGGTGACTAATCTGTGCTCCTGATGTACGCAGTCCTTTTGTTAATAAAGCACTTTCAAATGAAGCCAGAAGAACGTCACACAGACTCAACAGCAGTTCCCAAGTTGTGGATGGGGACCCCTGGTGGGCTCTGCAGGAACAACGTGGAGCTCAGCTGGAGGCGTCGCTGACGCTCCGATTTAAAGAAGCTGAATTACACCTGCACATGGAAAACTGAACTAAAGATGAATCAAAACAAGACTACATGTCCCATAATGCAACTCAACAGATTTACTTCCCTAAATCATCAGCGCAGCTATCAATCGTGGTTCTAAAAATCAGGTTTCCTTCGTATCCAGGCAACAAGACTTCAGAGTGAAAAATGGCGTGTTCATCCGGCAGGAGCGAGATCAGCTGCACACCTGCACTTCCTGTCACCTGACACTGACGGACATGAAAAGCACAAACTAGTCGTCAGGGCTCAGAGTCTACAGCAGAGCATTTCACTTCCTGTTTGAACCACGTCTCGTGATGATGATGTAACCGTGTTCATGGGGAACAGGAGCGTGTGTCCATAAACACACGCCTCCCTGCGTGCGTGTGCTGTGATGTCATCAGGGGCCCTCATTTCCAGACTTTGACGATGCCGTCTCTGGACGAGGTGACAATGAAGCCCTGCGTGGTCTGGAAGGTGGCGATGTCCGTGATGATGTCGTGGTGACCTAAGGGGAGGGACTCCGGGCCGCGGCGGGGCGAGTCCTCCACCACGCCGCTCTTCTGTTTGCTGTGGATCTCCTGCAGAGACGGCAGTGTTCAAAGGTGAAAGCAGGAAGAGTGTGTGCATGTGCGTGCGTGCATGTGCATACCTGTACGACCTCGGTCCCTTCGATGATCTTGCGGCTGTAGAGGACAGACGGGCAGTGCAGCGAGTCGTTGGCTCCGCCCGCCACAATGTACGACCTTTCTGGATACGCCAGGTCCCAGAACCTGAACGGAGGTCAGCAGAGGTCAACGGTCGCTCAGAGAAACTGTTAAACGAACAGAGCCGCGAGCTCGTCCTGCTGCCATGTTTGATGTTCTGTGGGCCACAGAGCGGCGCTTACACCTGAGCGTCAGCTGACCCGATGACCCAGCGGTGTCAGCTGCACAGCTACGACATCATCTCTCCATGACTACGACTTCCTGCCAGGACGGAGCTTTGTAACTGTGGAGGGTGAAATACGACCCAGCCAGAACCAGAACTTCCTGTTGAGCTTCACTGAGTGAGTCTGGCTAATCTTAGCTAATGTTAGCTTTCCTGCTAACACAGGTGAACGATGTGCTACCAGCTACAGCGAGCTAACCTCAGCCAACCAGTCTGTGTGAGCTGGGCGCCGCTCGCTCGGCGACGTCAGCGATCCGTGGACTCCACCTGTGAGCTAACGATGCAGAGAACTGTGAGGTGGAGTGTTTGTGTGGATGTTTCTCTGTGGGTCACACCTGATCCTCATGTCAGAGCCGGCTGTGAGCAGCAGAGGGTTCCCGTCAGCAGGACTGCAGTAGATCCCGTTAATGCTGTGTGGGGACGGCTGCAGACACACAAACACACACCTCAGTGACTTACACACACACGCACACACACACACACACACACACACACACACACTCACCTGCATCTCAGAGAGTGGGGGTGCCGAGCTCGCCCACAGGGTGAATTTGCGGTCTCCGGTCTCCATGTCCCACATGGACACTTCATTGTTCCCCTGCACAGCTGCAGACACACACACACACACACACACACACACACACACACTTATGACTCTGTGGAGACTTTAACAGAAACGAACTCTGAGGCGACTCAGCTGACCTGCGATGACAGACGACTGGTAGAGCGGGTGCATCAGCAGCCGTCTGATTCGTGCTCGGGCAGGGTGGGAGTGGTTTGAGATGGGCAGCTGGAACCGCATATCCCAGCAGGCCATGGTGCCGCTGCTCGTACCTGCAGGAAACAGAGACGTGAATGTTTCGTGCGACACCTGGACGCACGTCTTTGTTAAAACCGTTTTGCTGCCACCACAAACAGATTTCATGTGAGGACACACGGACCGAGGCAGAGCCAGCACTGGTGCATGTCCACGGCAAAGGACGTGATGAGTCCGAGGCGGAGGTCGTGGCGCAGCGTCCAGGCGTTGGAGTTGGAGCGGAGGTCCCAGCCGACCAGCGAGCCATTGACGGTGGCGTACGCCAGCACCGACTGGGCGCCGGAGTTGAAGTGGTGGATGTCGACCGTGCAGCCGTCCTCCTGCAGGTCCAGAGACCTGAAAGAGCACAGACCGACTTCCTGTCAGATATCCTGGTGCTCATCTCAAACACGGCTATCTTGAACTGTGTCGTCGGGTTTCGGTTACCTGCTCTGGAACGGCTGCACTTTGGGGGATTTTGGCGGTTTGTTGGCTTCGACGGCGAGCAGCTGGATGGATCCATTATCCGAGGCCACGGCTAAATAGTGCGAGCCCTGACAGAAGGTCAGCGTCTTCACGTGGCCGCCGATGCGAGAGTACGTCAACACCGACCTGCGGAGACACGGTGAGGGTGAGTGACTCCGCGGCGCCGCTTCTGCATGCGGGGCAGGCACACCTGAGGGCCTCACCTGGTGGTCGTGGTCTTTCCCTCCATCTTCTGGCTGTCCCACACTTTGACAGTACCGTCGTTGGAAGCCGTGGCGAAGATGGAGTGCTCGTCGGAGACTCGGATGCGGTTCACGGCAGCTTTGTGTTCGTGCAGGTGGGCGACCAGCAGGCCTTTCGGGTGCCACCCTGAAACAGTCACAGCTGTGTGAGGTGTGAGCTCGCCCGCGCCCCGCCCGAGGTCCGCTGCGAGTGCGGCGGCGCTTACCTGGAGGAGGAGGTCGGCTCTCCCACTCGGCGCTCTCCATCATCTGCTTGGCCATGCGCTCGGCACTGCACTGCTCCCTCTTCTGCTGCACCAGCTGCTGAAGCTCGGCCTTGCACGTGTTGAGGCGTCGCTGATAGGCGGGGCCGCTTGCCACCGACTGCAGCACGGGCACCGCCAGAGCCGCGGTGCTCTTCCTGATCTGACTCCCCGGCCCGTCGGCGGCCTGCGAACGGACCCAAACCCAAGTTTAGCGACTGAAAGGAACCAGAACCACAGAATTATCTCCCATCATGCCCCGGGGCGTGCGAAAGGAAGGCGTGAAACCTTAGTCGAGCAGGTTTCCTCCCACTGAAGATGAAATCTAACGATGGTTCCTCCTCCACAGCACTGACACACAATTACGTTAGAACATGATGACGACACAGCTGCAGGTGTGATGAAGAACCCAGAACGTTTACCCACAATGCATTGTTTTGAGTGTCGTCTGGTGAGCAGTCAAACTACAAATGTCCCTGATGCTTTTAGACCCGCCCCTCTGTACCTGCAGCCTCTAAACTCTGAGAATAGTCGTGCACATCTGCTCTCAGACTAAATGGGACCCGGCACAGCAGCGTACGAATGTCGGTGGCGTTACCGTGGCGGGCTGGCTGGAGGGCGGCTCCTGAGATCCAAACATGCTCTTCCACTCCTCGTTCATGGTGGAGTCCTGTTTGGTGTGCTTCCTGGCTGTGGGACAGACATGCAAACAGGACGTTAACCACGAGCTCAGATGAAGCAGCTTCCATAATCGGTGAAACTAAATCTGAGGAGAAGGCGAAACAAATGTCACACAAAGAAAAGTTCGAATAATTCTTCATGTGCTCGTCGAGATGAGATACTTTTATTTTGGA